GCAAGGCAGCTGCGGGGTTAGGTTGCTGCTGCGGGAGGGAGGCAGACGCGGACCTTGCCGCGTAACCTGGGGCGGGTGTGCCATGAAGTGCGCAGGGGTGGCTGTTTCTGGGGACGGTGGGAAGTGACTACCCGGAGAGGAGGATGTATAAAACCCCTGGAGCGCCGCCTCGAGGAACTCCTCTGCCCTGGAAGTGCCACTGCCCCTGCGAACCCTCTGTGTTTTCAGCTGAGATCAACTGTACTTCATGAGGCTGTCAATGTTTTAATCTCTGTCACTGGGTAGAAAATCCCACCTGTCCCCCAAGGGACCTGGGCTAGCTACCCAGGGGGAGCCAGGGCGCAAGGGGGAAGCCTTGGCCTTTCCCCTTGGCCAGGTCTTAGAGGAGACCCCTCTGCTCCCCGGCCCAGGAGCTATTGGGGCAGCCCCAGGCCGGAGTCCCAGCAGGGGGAGGGGGCGCTCCCTGAGCCCCCAGGCCAGGCAGCAGCTCTGCCCGCCATGCACCAAGCCGAGCCCTGCCCCCAGAGCACCCCGCCATCCATGTCTCCTCCGCCCTGGGACAGGCACCCTACTGGAGAGGGGGGCCTGTCCCTCGGCCCCCTCATTAGGAAAATTCCGGTTGCGCCCCTGCGGGGGTGGGGGGGAGCAAACAGTGGAACTTACTGTACCTAGGCAATGTCAAAATGCACCAAGGAAAAACTGGGGTAATGGGAGGGTGCGGAGGACACAAGTTGCTTTGATTCTATAGAAATGTCAGCCAGTATTTCAACCACAGACGTGATGCTGGGGAGAGGGTGGGGGTGTCTTTCTCTAAATAGCTGTAGGAAGACTTTTGCCATGGAGTTAAAAGAACTGCATTGTTACCATGTGTTCGGGGGCTCTTCCTGTAGCCAGGAGGTGAGGGAAGGGAAGGGCAGGGCTGCTGTTGAACTACCATTCAGTGGGATGGGGGGGGTCTTTAATTCAATATTAAAACCCCGCTCCCTACATTGCAGCAGTCTTCCCTCGAGCCAGGCTGGGGGGTGGGAGTGGGGCGCAGGGGTGGAAAGGCGCATTGCCCAGTGCTCTTGCATTTCCTGATGGATGCTTAACCCATGCAGCGCTGCGGTGGGGGTTGTCTCACCCTTCAGAACAGGGGGTCAGCAAAGCCCCTGCTGGCTGGCGGGCATGCCCCGGGTAGCACAGAGCAAAACAAAACAAACAAAAAAACATTGCAAAGTACAAATGTGTAAAAGCCAAAAAGGGGACGGGGGTGTTGCCGAGGGTTACCATACATTCGGTTTTTCCTGGACATGTCCGGCTTTTCGGCAATCAAATCCCCGTCCAGGGGGAATTGCCAAAAAGCCGAACATATCCGGGAAAATGCTGGCTGGGCACTTCCCCTCCCGCAGAGGCTCTGCTCCTCCCCTGACTCTTCGGCTCTGTTTAAGAGCCGAGCTGCCCGAGCGCTACGGGCTTTGGGCAGCCCCCATGCTTCCGGACCCTGCGCCGCCGGAGCCTGGGAGGGGAAGTGCCCGGCCGGGGGCGCAGGGTCCGGAGGCATAGGGGCTGCCTGAAGCCCAAGCGCTACCGGCTTCACGGTTTGCCGGGCAGCCTCCGGACCCTGCGCCCCCGGCTGGGAGCTCCCCCCCCCCGGGCTCCAGCTGTGCTGCGGAAGCGCCAGCCGGGGGCGCAGGGTCTGGGGGCTGCCCGGCAAACCATGAAGCCAGTAGCGCTCGGGCAGCCCTTTTCGCGTGGCTGGGAGTGGGAGGGAGGAGGGGGCGGAGTTAGGGCGGGGTTGGGGTGGGGAAGGGGCGGGGTTGGGGTGGGGCTGGGGTGGGAAATGGGCAGGGCCAGGCCCCATGGAGGGTCCTCTTTTTTTATTTGTTAAATATGGTAACCCTAGTTTGCCGGCCTAGAGAAGGCCCAAGGGGGCAACAGGGTCCGTTTGCACCAATGAAGACACCGAGGTGGAGAAACAAAGCAAATTTATTCGAGATCTCTGAATAGGCACCAGGAGACCAGCATGTCTCAAATCAAGCCCAGCACATGCAAATTTCCCTTTTTATATTCCAAGCTTCTGTGTAAGCCTTTGTCTATTTCACCCCTACCCCTCCCTTCCAAACAACAGTTACAGCAGGTACACATTGTGCATGTTAGAAACTTTCCCTTCGCCTGATTATCTTTTGGCCTTGTAGATTCATGCGCACGCAGTCGTTCCCCCTCCTACTTTCCCCCCTTACACTTATCACTACAGCATTTGTGAGCGAGCAAAACAGCAGCTGTCTGCTAGAAAAGCTGACCATTACATATTCTGCTTTTTAGGCTGTCAGCACTCTAGGCTGGGTATTGTTCACAAGATGGAGTTACTGTGGCTCACCTAGACCCAGAGCAGAAGAGCTTCATCGGCACTTCTGCCTTCCATTCTCCCGAGTTACCTGGTAGCTATGTCTAGTGACACCAACAGGGGAGGCGGGGGCAGCCAAAAATTTTTTTGCTTGGGGCGGCAAAAAACCTAGAGCCGGCCCTGGTTAAACCAACACAACTCTCTCAAGCAGCCCAGGCCTAGGCAGGGCTGGTGCTCACAGGGGGAGGACGCAGACCTCTAGCTTCAGCTGCCCCCTCGTAGGACCCTGCTCGAGGGCTTTGAGGCCGTTGTCAGGAACACATTTTTTGTTTGTTTGTTTGTTGCTCTGTCTGTTGGCCGAGTACCCAGCCCAGCGCTTTGGCTCTGGGGGAGCCCACAGCAAACGAAGCGCAGTAGTAGTTAGCAGGCAGTTCCCTCTCTGGAACCAGGGTGCACTCCAGTGGGGCGAATACTGGGGCTGGGGCAAGAAGAGAGAGGCAGGTTAAATCAGATAGGCACAACAGAGCCTGGAAGGGATGGGGATGGGGGCAGGTAGTGGTGCCCTGTTGCCCCAAGAAATCCAGTGTGTTTATGTTGCTCTGTTAGGTGGTTTTGCCTCTTTTGAATGGGAAGGTGCTGGAGCAGAGGCAGAGCCTGGGGTGAAAGGAGGCTGAGGTTGGCGTATTGGAGGAGAGGCCGGAGTGGGGGACAAGGGCGATGGGGATCAGTGCATTTCAGTGAGCTGGGGTAAGGGAGACGGACTAGGATGGTTACTGACACAAAGGGGAGGCAGGATGGCACAGTGCTTAGGGCTCTAGCTTAGGATTCAGGAAGAGCCATGTTCAGTGTCCTGGTCTGCCACTGGCATCCCCTGTGACCTGTGTGACCCCAGGCTGCCACATCCCGTGTCATCCTGGTCTGCTGCATAGAAGCTGATGCACATGACCTAATTCCCTCCTGTTGGTATTTTTATCCCCTCCCCTGCCTGCGCCTCTCTCCGGTGCCAGGTGCATGCTGTAAACAACAGTCACTGACAGCCCTTTGGAGCTCAGTGCCTTGTGTGCTGCTCCATGGAAATCAGTTGCAGCTTGCACAGTGAGAAGGCACCAACCCCCAACTGGCCAGCACAGCTTCTCTGGAGCAGCTAGCTCATGGCCATCTATCTTTCCCTCCCTCTTCTCTCCAATAGAAACCTGTTTGTCAAGGCCACCGCTAGTCCTGCCCGCTGCTAAGCCATGGTGTGTGGCTGCAAGTGAGGAGCAGGCAAATACAGACTGCAAAGGAGGATGAAGGGCGAGGATCATTGCACAGGATGTGTTCGCTAGCCTCTCTGAGGAGCAGGAGGACAGCTCCGCCACCCTGTGCCCCCTGCCAGGGGCTCCTGCTTAGCAATGTTGCCGGCGCTCAGCTGTGATACCGGGCCCCCTTTGTGAAAGTAAGTGTCCCCTGCAGCCCCTGGTTCCCCAAGGGCAGCTGGGAGGGAGCTTTCTGTAACACAGCCAGGCATGTTTCCTTGCTGTGCAGTTGCTGTTTGTCTGTCCAGGGGCAGGGGGTGGGGGGTAGCATCTTGGCAATCAGTCAGGAGCCCTCCTGAGTGGTGCTTTTGTGCTAGTGCCAGGCGCTGCTCTCTGGGCTCCCCTCTGCACTGTCACCATTCAGCAGACCATGCCCAGACTGCCCTGGCTGGGGCGTCTCTCCAACACCCAGGTTGAGAACAACGCACTGACTCCCAACAGACCCTCAATTTGGGTGCTGCATGCATTGGACAGATGTGGCTAGCTGGATGCAAGTGTTTGTCAAGCAGAACTAGTAGCCTGGTGCCCCATTGTGCTCTTGATCTGAGCCCCTCCCCCAGCAGGAAGGGCCCAGGGCATTATGCTGAGCCTGCATTGGTGGTGGGGTTGGTAACCAGAGCATGCTTCTACTTCTCCAACAAGAGGCTGAGACCTCTATGCAATGAAAAAGACTTGGCTTTGCTTTGAAATGTGTTTGTTGCTCTGGCTTGAAGGCACAAGCTCTTTGGGGGAAGGCCAGACCTGCTTCTGGGTATATTTGCACAGGGCCCAATCCCGACAGGGGCCTCTGCTGCTATTGGGGTAGAGCTTGGGCATGCTCCTGCCTGGCCTTTGCCCGTGTTCTCCGGTTTCCTGGGCTAATTGAACACATTAAGGGTTCCCCAGCACATTCTGTATCAGAGTCAGCTGCATTCCCCACTGCTAAGGCCCATGATGGCTGTGAGCCATCTGCACCAGAGACAGCTTTAACGCCACCTGGACGGGCCAGACCTCCGAGTTCACAATTACCCGAGGATTTGTCTGAGTTCCAAGCTGAAGTCGCTGGGAGGAAGGGCCTGGCCTAACAGCTTCATGGCTTCTCCTGTTTGAAAGCCCATCAGATCACATTGGAGCTAGCGCAACAGCTCTCATGCTGTCACTTTTATCAGGCCATTGAGAGCATGTTTTTTATGTCCAGTTCCCTGTAGCACCCACCCAGCTCCCTGCCTAGGGTCAGGTTCCTCACTCCCTCAAGGGACTTTGCTGCTGGTTGGACTGACCTGTTACCTGCACCGATTCTCCCCTTCCTGGGGTCCTTGCAGTGTGTGGCTGGATCAGCCCACGTCCTGAGCAGGGTATATGTGCCTGGGGAGATTAGCAGCTCACTGGGGTGCAGACGGATGCATTGTTACTGGGCCTTTTGTGTTGCTCCAGGCAGCTGGTGGGATCATCTTTCCTGCAGCCCTCACAGCAAATGGGCTTCATGGGCGCAGCAGCTGGGGATGGCGCCTTGCCCCACTGAGACCATGTCAGAAGGGCTGCGCAGGGAGCCAGAGCCAGACTGTCCTGTTTGCTGGAACCCCTACAACAACACCTTCCGTACCCCAAAGCTCCTGGAGTGCCAGCACTCTTTTTGCATCGAGTGCCTGGCACACCTGAGCCTGGTGTCCCCTGCCCGCAACCGGCTGCAATGCCCACTCTGCCGCCATCCCACAGTGCTCCCCTTCAACCAGCCCATCACTGAGCTGCCCACCAACTCAGATGTCCTGCGGCTGCTCAAACTGGAGCCCAACCATATCATCCTGGAGGGCCGGCAGCTGTGCCTAAAGGACGAGCGGAAATCACGGTACTTCCTGCGCCAGCCCAGGGTTTATACCCTCAACCTGGGAACAGATCCAGGGCCCAGGCTAGGTAGCTCCCAAGCTTCCCCTAGGCCGACCTCCAGCCCCAGCCGCTCTTCCCTTCGGCAGTGCATCCGCCACCCCCAGTTCCGCATCTTCGCCTACCTGATGGCCATCATCCTCAGCGTGACACTGCTGCTCATCTTCTCCATCTTCTGGACCAAGCAGTTCCTGTGGGGCATAGGCTGAGGGCTTGGCAAACCCCACAACTGGAGCTCAGAGTTCAACATCTTCTCAGGCTTGGTCTACACTACCCCCCCTAATTCGAACTAAGGTACGCAACTTCAGCTACGTGAATAACGTAGCTGAAGTTCGAAGTACCTTATTTCGAATTAGTTCAAACTTACCTTGGTCCACACTCGGCAGGCAGGCTCCCCCGTCGACTCCGCGGTACTCCTCTCGGCGAGCTGGAGTACCGCAGTCGACGGCGAACCCGGGTTCGACTTATCGCGTCGAGG